GACAACGTCCATGCTGCTGCTGATGCTGCTGCTCCTTCCGGTCGTGCGCCCACCCCCCCCCCGTGCACTCGATGGATGACGCGAAGAGTCTGTAGATCTCTCTAACTCTCGTTCCCCCTCTCTCTCAACCGCCGTCGCGAGACGCGCGAGATCGTCGGCGTGCGCCAGCGGCGTTTTCCAGCGCCGAAAGCGACGCCGGTTCGCTCGATCGCTCGCGCGCTGCCTCGTCGACCACGACCGGGGAGGGCAGCGTCGCGCGCGTCGTCCACGCGATGTTCTCCTCGACCCTCCAGGGTGAACTCGCTCTCTCCGAGTTGGCGAAGAGTCGTCGAGCGCCGCGCGAATCTACTCTCCGTGGCTGACCATCACGGCGCGCGCGATTGCGGCGAGATCGTTCGCTCGCGGCGGTCCCTCGACGATCGGTCGAGAGAGATTCGGCTGAACCGACCGCCGCATCCCCGCGTTGGTGGCGGTTTCTCCTCAGTATCGCGGGTACGTGTCTCGTCCTCGTCGTTCTTGGCGTCGTCGTCGTCGTTCTTGGCGTCGTCGTCGTTCTCCCCCCGATGTGGTGCGTTCCGCGTGGCGTCCGCGCGACGTGCGAATGGCCGCGCTGCTGGCGACGCAGCAGCCATCCATCCAACACCGGTGATCTCGATCGATCGTCGTCGTCGTCGTCGTCGTCGTGGTGGTCGCGATCGTCGTCGTCCTGGTGGTCGTCGTCGTCGTCGATCGTGGGCGCCGCGACCAAGGAGAGGGGACCGATCGACGATCGCGCGACGACGCGCGCGGGACGTCCGCGGGGACGACCGCGGGGACGACCGCGGGGACGCGCGGGAGGACGACCGCGAGTCGCTACGGCGGAACAAGCGGGATGGCCACGAGGACGACCACGGGGACCCGTCGCGGACGATCCGCGCAGCGAATCGAATTCCTCGTTCGCGAGGCGAGAGACGGTCCTTCGATCGCTTCCCTCCGTTCGGCCGACGACGCGGTCGTCGTCGTCGCGGTCGAAGGGCGAGGAGGAGGACGACGACGACGAGGGATCGTGGCGCACACGATGGGGAAGACGAGGCGGAGAGTCGAGAAAGGAGAGAACGGAACCGGGAGAGCGATCGTTGATGGGTGAGCGAGGCGGGGAAGAGGGTGGACGGGACGGAGGATCGTCGTCGCCGGTGAGCGGTGGATACTTTCGCGCGATCGCGTCGAAGAAGGCCTCGATGCGTCTCTCCCGAGGATGGGCGCGCTTGAACATGTACTCGGCCAGATATCCCTCGAGGTGTCTCCGTTTGATCCCGTACTTGGGGACGTTGGCTTGAACCTCCCTCCAGACGCGTTCTATGCCCTG